CACACACACACACACACACACACACACACACACACACACACACACACACACACACACACACACACACACACGCACGCACGCACGCACGCACGCACGCACGCACGCACGCACGCACGCACACACACACACACACACGCACGCACACATACACATTCGAGGGCGCACCGCATCGCCGTCAAAAGCTGCGCCAAAATCAAACTCGCCGCTCTTCATTGCGGTGACGAGGTCGGCGGCATATGTGAGGTTCGGGTCAGGGTGGCCGCCGCCAAAGTCCGGCAGCGGGGAGCAGTTGACGACAGAGCCCTGCGGTGCACCGAGCTCGTCCTCAAGGATGCGCTTCGCATAGGGGCCGGCCACGCCTGTTGTATTGTGGTGGTGGTGGTGGTGGAGATTAAGGAGGAGGGTTGGTCAAGAGGGAGCATGCTTCCGAAGTGTTCGTTTCTCGTGAGCATAGACCAAGACGGTTGCGGCCAATGACGGCGCAAAGTGTAAAAGCAACACGCGGCAACAAACAGGAGCGGCGATGGCACCAAAGATAGCAGCGCACCGTGGAGACAGTCCACGCGCATCTTGAAGGAGGAGGAAGAGACGAGCTTGCGCAGGGTGGCAAAGTCAAACAGCTGCTTCATCAGGTCAAGATATTCCTGCACTGCTCGCAGCAAACAAGTGCATGTGCATGTGCGTGGTGACGCATGACAAATTAGGGCACCACCAGCGCATATTTCACGAGCGTACAGCATGGGTGTGCACAAACATGTGCATGTAGGCACGCATGTACGTACGTGAACACGCTGGCTTCACACACACACACACACACACACACACACACACACACACACACACACACACACACACACACACACACACACACACACACACACACACACACACCTGAGTCGACGACTTCGACGGTGAAGGTATCGTCCACCTTGACCGTCTGGACCTTTGAGAGGTCGACGTCCGCAATGTCGCTGATGTGATACGCCGTCAGCTCCTTGCTCGCTTCGAAGATCTTGTCGGTCATGCTGCTGGGGGCAGGGCCTTTGAAGGGTCGTGAAGCAAGCCAGTGCGTAGAAGAGAGCATCAGCTGGGGCAGTTGCATTTCAAAGCGCTTTCACACACACAGACACACAGACACACAGACACACACAGACACACACAGACACACACAGACACACACATACACACAAACACACACACATACACACACACACAGGTCCTACCGCCGTTGCGAGCGTTGTACTTGATGCCAAAGTCACCGGTTGGGCCGCCAGGGTTGTGGGACGCCGTCAGGATGATGCCACCTGTGCATGTGCGTGTTGGAATGACAATTACACAAATATCAATGGTGAGGAGAGTGACCACATGTATGCACTTGCACATGCGTGTGACCGATGACGCAAAGCAAGTGGCGTTTGTTGTTGTAGTGCTTATGGTAGTGGGTGGTACCTTTGGCCTGACGGCCGCGAATCACGGCAGAGACGGCTGGGGTGGAGAAGAGGCCGTTCTGGCCCACAACCACCTTGCCCACCTGCAGCAAAACAAACAAGAGGCATCGTTGGCGGCGCGAGCATAAGTGGTTCTGCGTGTTGTTGGAAGCAATGGTGCAGGAAGGGTATATTGGCGGAGCAGCACGCAGGCGCTGTGGGATCCACCGAGCACACGCCACAGAGGGCGCTGAAGTGGACCTTGTTGGCATGGGCAATCTTGATGATCTTCTGGGCGGCCTCCGTGCAGAAGAAGCGGCCATCACCGCCAACGACGATGGTGGACCCTGCACGATGAAGAAACATGTACACATCGGAGAGGTGAGAGGAACAGAGACGAGAAGGAAGATGTGTAAGGGAACCAACTGAGGCACAAGCAGCGCGTGCAAGGCCCAGCACGCACTGAATCAGAGAGAGCGAGAGCGAGAGCGCGAGACAGAGAGGGGCGCAGACAAGAAGAGAGAGAGAGAGAGACACACACACACACAGAGGCAGATAGAGAGAGACACACAGGCAGACAGGCAGGCGCAGACAGACACACATGCACAGAGGCAGACAGGCAGGCGCAGACAGGCAAGCACACAGACAGAGAGGAGCGTACGTCCACAAATGCACACACACACACACATGTACCACCACACCTTCGAAGCTCTCCCCCTCGACGGCGGGGATGGCGTTAAAGATGGCCTGGATGAAGTTCTCCGTGTAGTGGTCTTGCTGGAAGACGGTCACCTTCTTGCGCAGACCAGAGGTGCCAGGCTTCTGGTCATCAAACGGCGTTGTCGCAACCGTTGGCATCTTGGCTTCCGTTGGTAAGCTTTGCTTCTTCCTGACTGTTGAGACGTACTGGACTGTCTGGAGTTTGATGTGCTGCTGGTTGTGGCAGTGGACGGGCGAGTGGAAAATGATGCGCGTGTACGCGTGAGGGGTGTGTGTGTGTGTGTGTGTGATAGTGAGGAGAAACAGACACCACTGCAGTGAGATGCCTCAGATGTCGGACGCACCGCTGCACATACACACGCGCAGAAACACGAGGGGGGCAGCAGCAGTGCAAACAGCAGCAAGCCAAGCCCAAGCCAAGCAAAGAAGCAATCGCGAACCGCTGCAGATGAGGTTGGTTGACGGAGTGGAAATGCGAAATCGTTGGTTAGTTGCTTTGCTTCTGCAAGCAGTTGTGTTTGTGTGTGATTTTGTTGGCAAATTCGCCTTTGCCACACAACCTTCCAAGCGGCAAATTCAGCGAACGACAAGACGACCAACACAAACCTGCCATCATGGCGCGTTATTGGTGCCACAAGTGTGCGCGACACTTTGAAGCCTCGACATCACCAGAGGTTTGTCGACATGTGTGAGAGAGTGTGTGTGTGTGTGTGTCTCTCTCTGTTTGTCGACATGTGAGAGAGAGAGAGAGTGTGTGTGTGTGTGTCTGTTTGTGTGCGTGTGTTTCTCTGTGTGTGTGTGTGTGCGTGTGTGTGTGTCTGTGTGCGTGTGTTTCTCTGTGTATGTGTGTGCGTTTGTTTCTCTCTCTCTCTCTGTGTGTCTCTCTGTGCCATGTGCCGTGACTGCTTTGGGTTCTGTGCACTCATGCATACACCACACACACGACACACGTACGCGCGCGCGCCCTGTGGTGCAGAGCACGCGATGCCCGTCATGCCAGGATAATATCGTGGAACTGGTGGCTTCCGCGCCGCAGGCGTCAACAGCGCGCGCACAACGCACAGCACGCGCGTCGCGCACGGCGCGCGCGTCAGGAACGCAAGCCACGGCACCGCCGCAGCGCAGCTCCAGCAGCGCGCGTGCCAGTCCCACGAGCCGCTCTTCCCACAGTTTGTCGTGGACGCTGTCGTCCTCTTCTGCACCGACATCGGCAACGACTTCGCCATCTTCAGCGCCTCCTTTGCCTGCATCGGTTCTTACCAATCTGGCCCAGCAACAACATCGGCGGGCGCAAGAGCGTGCCAGTCTTGGTCGACAACAACCACACCAACAGCAACCACAACAACAACAACAACAACAACAACAACAACAACAACAACGCCAGCCACAACAACAGCAGCAGCAACCACAACAACCAGCGCCGTTTTTCCTGCAATCTATGATGCCGCCGGGTCATGGCGGGCCTCACATGCACCCTCAACATCCTCTTCGCCATCACCACCACCACCATCATCATCATGCCAGGCGCCCCATTCACACACTGCGCTCGGGTGAACCCGAGGTTGCCTCGCACGAGTAAGTTAGCTTGTCAGGATGGCCATTTTGCTTGCATCTTTGCCCTTGCCTGTGACGTACCGCTGTGCCGCATTATGCTCACGCAGTGTGTCGATGACTTTGTGCATTGTTTTTTGTGCGTGTATGTCTGTGTGTCTGTGTCTGTGTCTGTGTCTGTGTCTGTGTCTGCCTGACGTGTTTTGTTTTCGGCCTTTCACTGTGGCGTTTGTTGACCTGCATGTTCGCCTGTCAAACTTGGAGCAGCCACGTTCACCACCCTCATCCACCACCGTGAGTGAACACTCGTGTGTCTCGTGCATGTGCCCGTTGGTACGAAAAGAAATTCGCATGCATACACAACACACAACACACAACACAACACACACACACAACACATGCACACGTGCGCCACGCTTTGATTCTTGTGCTCATGTTCTGTCTCGCTGCGTCGTTGCATGACCCCTCGTGTTAGCGCATTCACTGTCGACCTGCTGACGTCACTGTTGCCAGCCGTAAGTACTTCATTTACCCGTTTGTGCCCAATGTGCACACTGCCATGGTCTCATGTGCATGCGTGCGCACCCCTGTATCCCATGTGCATGTGATTGTGTCCTATGTGTGTGTGTGTGCGTGTGTGCGGCAATTCTCACGCAACACCACCACGCGCTTTCCTTTGCGCGACTGCATGCAGTTCTCGTTTGCATTTGACGGGAGTGTCGGTCCAGCACAACCCGCATACAACCCGCAAGACCTCTTTGACCGCCTTGTCGACCACACCTTGACCTCCACCGATGAAGGTGTCGAACAAACACATACAAGCAGCGTGTGTGTGTGTGTGTGTGCGTGCGTGTGTGCGTGCGTGTGCGTGCGTTTCTCGTTCTGTCCCTCTGATTCCTCTGTATTGTTCCGATGGCGCGTGGTAACGCTTCGCTCCCCCATTTTCCCTTCTTGCCCTGCGTCAACATCCATTAGAGATTGGCGAGGCGTGTGCCGTGTGCTTGCAGCAGTTTGAGGAGAACCAGCACGTGCGCCGACTGCCCTGCCGCCGTACGTTTCATTTGCGTGTGTGTGTGTGTGTGTGTGTGTGTGTGTGTGTCTGTGTGTGTGTGTCTGTGTGTGTGTGTCTGTGTGTGTGTGTGTGTGTCTGTGTGTTGTGTGTGTGTCTGTGTGTGTGTGTGTGTGTGTCTGTGTGTCTGTGTGTCTGTGTATCCGCGCGTCTGTGGCGATTGCGGTTGTGTGCGTGTGTTTGAGGTTCGAGGCTGCATGCACGCCGACCCCACCTCAACAACGCTTGCTTTGTGGAGACTGACTCGTGTGCCACATCACATCGTGACACCGTTGTGTTGCTTCAACAGACGTGTTCCATGTGGAATGCATTGATGAGTGGCTGCAGTCGGTGCCCACCTGCCCAACCTGCCGCTCAAACATCACCGATGAGCTCGACAGACTCGAGGTCCAACCCCCCGTCGTCTGAACACCCTACAAATGCGTGTGTGTTTGTTTGCACGTGTGTGTGTGTGTGTGTGTGTGTGTGTGTGTGTGTGTGTGTGTGTGTGTGTGTGTGTGTGTGTGTGTGTGTGTG